ATGACTGCGAGCAAGGCTTTCTTTTGATGTTCGGTGAGACTTTCAATCTCTGGAAAACGCTCCACGAGTACCGAGGTCAAAAGTTCTTCGAAGACACACAGTCAGAAACGTAATCCATGTCGAACAATTCCCTGTATAACCTGAGAACTGAAGTATTTTGCAAACAAATTCCTTCCCTTACCTCAAGAAGTGCAGTGACAGATATCTTCACCGTCCCCTCGGTATTACCAATCAAACAAACCAATCATATTGATTGGCGTGTTTGTAAAACTATCAATCAATCCGAGCCCGAGGGTCAGTTAAGTCCAAGGTAACCAGAGGTTTCTCTTCCTCTCCGCTTCGCGACTCGAAGCTCTCTCATGCGGAGAAAAATCAAGAGAACAGAAAAATCAAGAAAAACCTCTGAGAGCAGGGTATACTTTAAATAGCGTATGACAACGAATTTCGCTTTCATATCACTGATGAAGGTTTAAGCATTAGCCGAAACGTCTGTTGAAAAATATCCAGAGTCAGTGGCAAACCTTTATCCATAGACCTTACTGTTAGGAATGACTTATTATATTCCATTAAGGAGAAGGGAATAAATACTGTTAGACTTCACACATCAGCCTTACATGTAATGGGTTCTAAGAAGCAGAAAGGTCTAGATGTAGGAATGACTTAGTATAATTCCATAAGGAGAAGAAGACAGAACATGTCTGCAATTCTCAAGCGTCTTCATAAACAAATGTGTGGTAAAATCTAATCCGACTATTACTCCGACTAAAAGTGCAAACTTCAAAATGAGCAGAAAGTGAGAGCTATTTACTTACAGTGGGATGAAAACCAGGCTTTGAATTGAAACAAACCTTCAGACAAATAGCAAGTTTGTCAAGTGTAAAGCGGTAATTGTCAAGCGATTGTATTTGCATTTACGTCATCTAAAAAGGCGATCTACATCTCAAGTGACTACTTTGTGAGACAAACGATAATACACTTTATTATTCTCGCAATCTGATTGGCTAATTTTCCGTTATCGATAAGAGTCCAGATAACGCTGCTCGCGTCAATGTGTCACTCAATGCCTTTTTCAGCTCGCGCTCTGAAAAAAAAAACATTTTCTTTGACCTTGATATTAAGGTAAAAAACCAATCAAAATGTAGTTTAGTGTGGTGTGCACTCTTATTGACAACAATACGCGTCATCAGAGTGGTCAAAATTTGTGGTAAAAATTATGATATTAAAGAAAGGTTATCGTTATACCTTCCAACTCAAATACGTTTTCCGATTGGAGAACGTGTCACGTGCCATGGGTCAAAACTCACTAACTCCCTAGCGTGAACAACACTCACTACCTCCCTAGAGAAACAACAACTTGAACTTTCGACTCGCACGTGATCAGGTCGTACACCTTTAAACGGCGGCAAATTTGTGTGCACTCGGCCTGATGTCAAAAGTTGAAGTCGGGCAACGTTTCTCACTAGAGAAGGCATTCATTATTCAAGAAAAGGGATTTATAATTCAGCAAAAACATATCAGATTAACAAAGGGGAAAATTTGAACATTTTGTGTCTTCGCGCTTTTAATTTGGCGCCAAAATTGGTCGTCCGCGTTCGGCAACTTGCACTTCGATCGCTGTCGCCACTCGCCAGGTAGGAAAATAGTTGTGTCATTTGCCACAAAATATCCTGTTCCTCGTCAAATCAAACCCAGAATTCTCGAGTTAAGGATTAGAAGAAGGCAAAGAAACTTAAAGTGCACCTAACCCCAAAAATTTTTTTTCGCTAGAACGAATCTACTTATTATTTGAAATAG